TTGGGAAGTGAGGTGTCTCCTCAAACCTGAGTAAGCCTAAATCCTGGTGGAACAACAAAAAGCTACCTTTGCTTTTGCTGACTGAATCATTGCCAAAAGGAGCTGCAGCTGGCCCTTGCTGCCTTGTCATCGACCTTCTTGGACAGGATGAGGACGGTCCCTTTTCCTGTCCTGTGATACTGATGGGAGCCATGTGAAAATGCCCAGAAAAGAGGATTATTTTCTACTATCTGGAAAAAGCCCTGAATACCTTGTGCCTGCCCGTATTGTCCCTCAGATCTCTCAGAGGTTGTCTGTGTTGGGATCGCTGGTCTCCTGCCTTCTGTATTTTGTGGATCAGCCTTACTTTTGTTTAGTTTCTGGCAGACAGGTACAACTTGAGCTCTGCTGCTGTTTTGGTCTGGCCCTGCATTCTTCTTTTCAGGTTTACTGGTGTGCTTTTTGGGAATTGACTGTCTTCCCCCATCCCCAAAACGCTGTTTTCAATGAGTAGCTTCCCTGCCAATTCCTAAATGTGGTGTCTCCACGTTCTGCGTGTAACAGGGTGCAGGAGCTGTTATAACTAGTGTCTGACCAAGAGCTGTCGAAGCCCATAGAAAAAGGCCCAGGGAGTTTCAGCTGGTGTTGGATCAACCCCCTAGCGACTGGCCCAATGAAGCCTCTAATAACATCTTAAATTAATCAATGCCAAACTGGGAGGAGCAGTAGCAGCTGCATTGAAGGAAACATTCAGCTTCCAGGTGGTGTTTGCCATTCCAGTTTTGCCCTCATTCCCCTTTCCCAGTTGTGGCATTGCCTTTGTCCATTCCTTTCTCGTAGGTGTGGAGACTGGGTAAGTCTCAAACTGCTTGTGGTGTGATGGGATTTGGGACCAACATGCTCGGGACAGTAGCTCTCTGTTGTGTTTTTATAATTATTATTTAAATGATCTATTTAGTTCATCTGAACCTTTAATTTTGCTGCTTACTGTATGTAGGATCCACCTGGCCTTTATCCTAAATGAAAAGAAAAAACGAAATGAAAACAAACCGAAGACACCCCCCTCCTCCCTGGTATCTTATTTATTGGCAGGCAGCCGTCTTGTGCCTGCTCCAGCAGATCTGCCTGCCATTAATTTAACATCCTCCCAACTCACGTTCCTGGTGTTTGGTTGTTGCTTCTTTTTCTTTTTTTTTCTTGTGTTTGTTTTTTTTTTTTCATTCTAAGACAGACTTCTGAAATGTAAGAAATCATTATTATTATGACACTTCCAAGTTCATTTTCGTTAGGAAGGCCAAGTCAAACATTTTAAGAGGTGGGGGGAACAATCTACATTTTATTTCTTATTTATTTATCATGTTTACATCTTTTTTTCTGTTCAAGACTTGGATATAATAAAGAAAGCATTAAAAATACTCCAATCTTCTTCTTTTTTTAGGCTAATAATTTTTTTTGATTCTTTAAAGAAAAGATTCTGGGTTTTGTTGTTGTCTGTATAAAATGTAAAAAGAGATGTGTTTCTAAAGATGCATTATCATTCCTCTGTGAACAGTAGGTGGACTTGAGGACAAATCTCAGAATACAAGATAATAATAAAATCCCATCCTGTTTTACTTAATTGTTCCCCTCCTATCCTGTATGATTAAAGGGTTATTCCACTTTCTTGTTTGTGGTTACTTGATATTAAAACCATATTAAAATGTGTAGAAAATAGGTATCCAATTGTTTTTGCTCAGTGAGAGGATAAACTGTTGTATATATCTTGATATACTGTGTAGTTCAAAGTAACATCGATAAGGGATAGTGCATCTTTATTAGAGCGATAAGTTACTAGTGTCACTAAAGTCTACTTTAAGATCCTCGGATACAGAAAGGGCTGACTTTGATTCCACTCTCCTGGGGGCAAATTGAAAGCATCAGTAGCATTTTGCTGCTGCAAAGCAGGTGTTGGAGGTGGAATCAAGCTTCAGTGATCAATAGACGACCATGAGGATTATTGAAGGTTTGGGGGCACCATTATCTTTTTTTTTTTCCCCTTGAAAGTTTTAGATTTTTTTTTTTTTTTTTTTTGTCTGTGGTGAAATAATTTCTGCCAAGGAGGTTCTTAAAGGTGACTGCTGAATTGGGACCCTTTGCTCGTTGTGATCTTGATATTGTTCTTGCAGTCCTGGAGAATCTCAGCTCTGAGGCATTCTTTCTGGTGTCGTCTCTCTTTCTGTTCTTGTTATTTTACTGAATTACAGGCCTACAGTATTTGCACTAAAACAAAAAGCTTGTTAGAGAAAGCTTGCTGCTATGAAAGAAAGAACGTATTAAAATGGTTTTGCTTTTACAATTTTAACTGAGTAGCATTTTGTAGAATAAAATCAATTTAGACTGAAAAGAAAAAATGACTTTTCTTTTTTCCTCTGCACCTTCTCCACCATACTCCTTTCTTTTCCTTCCATTCCTC